ACTATTAGTATATAGATCCTAACTACTATTAAGGTTAAGAANATATATATATATATATATATATATATATATATATATATATATCTAAACAGAGTACCAAAAATTCCACCGAAACATATTCAAAACCATTTGCGGCAATTTCCAGTTAGATCAATAATCAGTTGGTCCCCAACCCACCATTGGCTCTTGGGAGAAGCTAAACTTCGAGAGAAAGTTCATCTAAAACTTAGGGCCTTCAGGACTCAGCAACATCCTAGGTGATGATCTCAGGGGTCTCTTCTCAGGTCTCATTAGTATTTGTAAGTCATCAGAAGCAGAACCACAAGCTCTCTTTACAAGGATTAGGCATTTTTTTAAGATAGCCTAGGAGGACTCTATTTTCTTGAGTGTGACACCTTAAATGCCAGTGCTGTCAGAAAAGAGAGGCGGAATCCATGCTTATGGGGTTCAAGTGTCTTAGAGGTGCCAATCAAAATCCAAGCAAGTGACTGAGTTGGGCATCATCAATTTAAAAAAAAAAAAAATTCAAAACATCAACGGAAATTAGAATTGAAATTCATTACTAAATGTTTTGAAAATTGACTCAGGCTCAGACTTGGACCTGGCCTGAGCCGAGTAACCCGAGTCCGAGCGGACTTGGCCAAGTCCTATGCAAGCCCAAAATATGCTACAAATTCAAAAACAAAGTGTAAAAAAGTTGTTAAAAGCATTTAAAAATGGAACAAAATAAAAAAAAGGAATAGAAATCATTAGAAGTCTATAAAAGATGAAAAAAGTAAATAGACATCAATTTATAACTTGAAATATTTCCGAAAAATAAAAACAAAGGAAAAATAAAAAATTTCAGCATATAATAAGAAAAGCTCCCAAATCATCATAAAACCCATAATATTCATTAAAAAACATATTTCAATCACATACTGGTGATTTTTCACAAAATTTATGATTTTTTAAGAATTTTTAACAAGGTCGATTTGGGTACTAGAACTCCCCTCTGCCATAAGCTAAGGCCGAGTGATGTGGCCAAGTCCAAGTGGACACGGTTGAGTCCTTGAACACTAGTGCTGCTAATAAGTCACATAGGTTGTGTGCTCTTGGTCCCCGAAAAAATGACAAAGACATCGTAATATTCATAATTGCATATCTATGAAATGCAAAACCTGCATGAACCACTAATGCAATGTATAGTTACCGGAATCGTGTACCGAGGTCATGATTCCGGTTCAGAATCGTGATTCCACGGTTTCCAAGATGAAAGAAGATAGGAATCACATTTCCAAGTTTCTCGAAATGTGCTCTAGATTATTATTTGAATCTCGATTCCTGGAAGCCTGGAATCTAGATTCCATATTGCAGAATTTTCGATTCATAGTTGCACAACAATGCGATACAACATGTGCGTGACATTGATTCCATTTTTTTAGGAATTGCGAAGCGAATCCATGTTGTTTGGAAGCTAGATCCATATCGTCAAAAGGTGTGGTTCATAGATGCACTGAATAATATTTCGATCAAAATCGAATCAAGTTCTGATGGCATGGAATGAAGATTCAAAAATATGTTCACAAATTGTATGTTCCAGGGGCAGCTCCATGAGAAGTTCCAGGAACCCTTTCGCATCATATTACATTTTGTTACAAGGTTAAATACCAATGATTTGGGTTTCGGGACTGTGATGTTGTGAGAGCCAAAAAAGCCTTAATAAACATTTGAGATGAATCTATGTACAATAATCTCTGCCAAGCTACCCAACAAATTTATCAATCTATAAATCACGTAGTGAGTGGCAGCCCCACTTGAATTGTGCAAATTTCAAATCCAAATCGATGGGGACAACGATTCCAGTAATGTAGGAATCACGATTCCTATTTCGTCAGATCCGGATTCCCGAAACCATTGAAAGGTTTTGGGTCGTGTGATTCCTTAAAGGTAGGAAACTTGATTTCAACATGATGGGATACTAATTCCTACAAATAGGAATCACAGATCCAATTTTATTGGATCGTGATTCCGATTATTGGGAATCACACCTCCAATGATTTTCACTGTATGGATGGCAATTCCGAGATTAGGAATCATCTGGCACACGATTCCGCGATTCTAATTCCTAAAGCGAATCAGAATCACAGGCATTTCCAAGAATTATAACTCAATGACAAGCTAATGAATTAGCAATGTCTATCAAAGTAAAACCAATTGGCTAAGCATTATGAAAGTCGTACATTTACATTTCACACAATCACATGATACTATGACAGTTAAAACCACATTCCACAAGTCAAGACCATAGTTAATATTTCGATTTACAAATCGAAAGAGGCTAAGGGTTGTTGTTCACTCATTTAGAAGGGTTGTTGTACACTCATTTATATACAAATAGTTTCCCTTTTTCCAGAGCTAGGGGATTTTGAAGGATTGTAAAACTCTTAACCCGCTTATCCCAAAATAAAAATTAAAAAAATCATTTCCGGCTGATATTCCACCCACTAGTGATTTTTGCAAGGTGACCACGTAGTTAGGAGTTTTACCTAAGTGGTGCTTTTTGAGGCAGACTTTGCCCAATTGCAAGTCCTTGGCAGCTACCTTTTACTAAAAAGCTTAATGAAATCAGGTGGTAATCAGGCGGGACAATGAAAATTGCCCCTTTTTGTGGAGAATGGCAAACACCTTGGACAAGAATAAGGAAATGTCATTAACTTTCCACCATATCCTTTGCAATGCCAACTCAGCAGCCAATAAGATCACTTATGATTGGGGCAGTGGAGGAATTCCATTATGGATCATTTGTTACAATCCTAGGTGCTACAAACGACAGCAAAAACATTAATCTCTTAATTCTACAAGGAGGCATTTCGGCAACAATAAGTTAGGTGGTACAGGAAAGATTAGTATAGCTTAGAAAACTCAGGAGATATAATGAAAGGAACCAGTTGCAAACTCGTATAAAATTACACATAAATTACATTACCTTAATGTAAAAAATACATGTCAATCCAAAGAAAACTTGCCTAATCAGATGGGGAAATAATGTCACTTTAAACTTGCGCTACCCATATGATACCAGAAGTGTGGCTCAAGGGCCTCAACTTGGGAAATTTGGGACCATCAAAATAACAATATATATGAAAAATAAACTACTTGTAACATACGAGAGCAATTTTAGCAGGGGAATATATTTTCACAATAAAAAATAAAGACATAGGAGTGTTCATCGTAAAGTTGTTAGGATTTCCCAACCCAAGCAGTGATCATGCACCGGTATCTCGCTCAGGCGCTCCAAGAATAGGGATCTTCAAGGAATCTCAATTTTTAAATTTTGGGATCTTGATCCCACTGTAAGAAATCTTAATCTTGATTCCCACCTTAAAGACCAAGATAATGACCAAGCTGATGATTTTCTTTATATATAGCAAGCTAGCATTGCAACTATACTTTCAATATAGTTGCATTGCTTGCTAACTATAGATAAAGAGATTCATACTCTAAAGAGTATATATAGTCCAAAATTTTATGTACTCTTTGAGGTTGAGAGATAGATCCTCGAAAAGTTAAAGATCAAGATCCCAAAAGGTCAAGAATAAGATCTACAAAATGTTGGGATGAAGATCCGATCCCTAACATATGCATTGTACAGAAGACAACCCCATCCATAAGGATCTTCTAGCCTTTGACAATCCCCCACTCCCAATCCTAAGCCAGCTCCCATATCTGGCTCTCAATCCCAAGAAAGACGATTCACTGGCTAATTTTTAATAAGAAGACAATATGTGTGCATTCATAAGAATGGAGTGTCATGAACACGCTCTGATTTAAGGGATCTCAACATGGTGAGCAAAATAAAGAAACTCGAGCCTTCAAAAGAATTATATCACTATGGCGAGTGATGAATTTGTTGTCATGCAAACTTTCCATTGAAGTATTTGCAGACAAGTGACCATTCAAACAAGTTATTACCAAGAAGAAATTCCCACTTCACAGAAATGAGAGTATTTGGTAGCAGAAAGACCAAGATATTTCACTTCAGGATTTCCAGTGAGAAAGCTTTTCCAGCAAATTGTGATGGTCATCATAACCATTTCGGTTAGAAATAAAGAATCTCAAAGTATGCATTAAAGCTGATTCTGAAACCCTGACTCATAATTGGTACATAGATAGCCAGCAGAATGAGCTAAAAATGCATGAAGCATTAAGTACAAAAGAGAGTATCAAATCCATCAGAAAACCTTTCTCATAATTGTAAGAGCATATCGAGATCTAACCTCCATGGCATTTCTCACTTGAACCGGATCTGGTAGAAAACGGAATGCAATCCCTTCAACTTTCAGCATATACACCTATCATTAGAGAAAATAAGAATTTCCAACAGAATAGTCCGAAGCAAGACATGCAGTAGCATGAATTCTTTTCCAACAAAGACGTATTACAAAGATAACCAAGAAAAATACATCAAGTGCAAATACCAATTTTAAACAAGTACATACAAGAAGATGCTAGACATAACTCTCTTGCTAAGCATTGGATCATGTTAACATGCCTTTCCCACTTCTTAAACTCTGACTAAGCACAAAAGGAAAGAAACGAAAGGATTTCACAAAAAAATAAAACTCAAATTTCCATTCAGAGTTAGAAACTCTCTAATCCAAAATGTCACATGGCAGACTAAGCTTTGGTATTAGTTGCACTCTAAATCCTTCGTCCAACAACATTAACTATTTGTAGAATAGATCCTTAATTCTCAAAAAAAAATAAACTTGAGCCTATATCTCCAGAAAGTTTTAGAACACCATCAATATAGCCAAGATGCAAGAAATAAATTTAAAAAGCATTAACTTTATATGGCCATATTAGGCCACATCCTTAGGTAAGTTCGATTGACAGATAGGCTTGCAAGTGAAGAACTTAACAATCGTAATGGCCATGAGGCAGTTCGAGTAGAGAATCATTATTTTACTATTGCATTAAAAATAGCTCTGTAAAAGAGTCAGTATGTCACTTCACAGTATTAGCCTAATTAAAGGCACTATGTGAAATATGCCATTACATTTTTTCATTGTTTCATCTCCTTTGTGGTAGCAAGGAAGCTAGAAAGCATAGTATGAGGGTCCTGACGATCTTCTTTTTCAATGTCTAATTGAGACAATTTGGCAATGAGTTGGTCTAGGAATTCACTGATAACTGGATTAAGTTTAGAGGTTTTATTTGGATGTTCAGGAGGAGGTTTGAACATGACAGGTTCCTTCTCCTTCTTCCTGACTTCATGCTTATCTAGTTTTCCTTCTAGATATTCAGGTTTTTCTTTTTTGAGATCTTCTTTACTAACCGTGAGTTCTGTCCTAGATACTTGTTTACCTAGGCTTTTCAAATATAAATTTGTATAATTATTTTGTTCAATAACATGGTTTATACTCTCTACCGTTGTTGTGAGATTTAACCCTTTGGGTTCAAGTTTATAGGGTACGGCTTTAACCCCTTTAATATCCAGAGGTACCTCAGGAGAATGGACAGATTGGATTTCTTTTCCGTCTTTGGTAGTAAAGACTTGGAATTCTTTTCTCACCATGTTTATTTCTTTTTTGAAATTAGGAAATATATATATATATATACACACACACACATATAAATATAAGAAAAAGTTTATATAAGTGCGAGGCTCTAAACAATAAAATATGCCGCACCTCAAAAATTTCACTAGAAGAGGTTGTTTTGATGCCCAAATATCCTCAAATTGTTCATCTCGACCAAAAGATGCATGGACATGAGAAAAAAATGGATTTCAAGTTTTGGAAATAGTGCATCTTGTAATGCATTTTTGGACCGTCAATTTTCAAGATTTTCAAGTTTTCCTAGATCCGCTCAATCTACACTATTTTTTAAGCTTCAAATTTTATAATTAGCGATGAAAATATATTTTAAGGGTATCACAAAGATTTCCAGTATTGAAACCACATTTCTCGACAGTATTTGAAGGTGCACTTTACTTCGATTGTTTAGAGAATCGGCCTTATACAAACCGCACCCATATATATATATTAAAGTGATTCACTACAGTAGGACAGGGTGATTCACTACAGTAAGAACTGCCCAGTTCTGGACAACTGAAGCAATATCTTGGTTCGAGACCATCCCAGACCAAGGGCCCTCCCAGGTTCGAGTCAACTTGGCAATTCCAAGTCAGCTCGCCAGTTTTCAAGCACCGAAGCAAACCACAACCACGAAAACAGATAACAAAAATCATCCATAGGTGGTCATTAACAAGAAAATCATTAGAAAGCAAACAATCAGCACAAATTCAAAGACGTCAGGTTCAAAATGTACAAACTTTTGAAGCTTCCCCTGGGATTGAGATCCCTTCAAAACAAGATTGTCCTCCCCCATTTTCAATGAGCTCGCGATCCCTTTTAGGTTCAAGGTTCATATGGTCATGACCCCCCTTCCATAGGTTCGACATCCCTTTTAGATAGGGATCGAGATCAAGATCCCCTGATGGGGTAATCGGAGCAAGCTCCACTTAGGTTCCGGCTTTGGGATCACTAGAGTGAGATTCCAATGGGGATCGCCACCCCCAAACCACGCTCCTCACATCCATGGGTCGACAAAGTTTAGAGTTGAGACTGTGTTCCAACAGTGGCAAATCTAGACAGATGCAAGGTAGTTCTGCTAGGGTGCACATTTCAAGAAATTACAAATCCTTCTTCTTCTTTTTCCAATTTTAATGTTATATGGATTTGTATTTAGGTCGATAGAACTTAACTTAATTGGGAGATCGTGGTAGCTTGATAGAATAGATCAGTCCCTAGACTTGACATGCCTGCTCCAAAGTAGCTCAAGCATAAGGCAGTCAACCACCACAGACAGCACATCCACCTGACTTCTACTAAACATGTCAGATGAGTGGAACCTTCGGAATAGGATAGAAATTAGAGAAAGGTTGCAATCAGAGTTGTCCCCTAGGCCAGAATATGATTGAAATCAGAGAAGGGTTTGTTTTCAAGGTTGGCAAGCTTTGGATGAGGCTTTGCTAAAGATGAGTACGTAATCAGTGTATAGTAGATGGATAGGGGTGGACACCATTCTAGGGTGTATAGTGGTTGCAAACATTCACTTTCGAGCTCTTTGCTGAAGAGCATACCAAAACATTCCATGGCTAGAAGGAAAGGATAAAGGTATAGTGGGTCACGAATAATGGGTGCCTAAGCCCAAATTTTTTCCTTGCAAAAAGAAAACCAAATGGAGTGCCTCTGAGAAGAATAGAGTACAATTCAAAGAAAAATCAATAAAAAAAAAAGAATGGACTTTCTTTCTGCTTTTTAGCCATGCTATGGGAGACTCCAAGAAGGTTATTTGCTGCAGTATTAGCGAGGAGATGTGCCATGGCACCTCCACAATGTGTTCAAATAGATTCATGCAAACACCAATAACATGTGGGTGACCTTCAACTAATGAGGAGGTGAATATGTTGGCAAGGGAGGGGTCTCTGAATTAGAGTACACAGTAATATTCCTTAATACATTGAAGATTCATGGTTAGAGAATATCAGAAGCCTACAATGGAGCATCCAGTTCCAAGTACTTTGAAACTTAAGTTTGATGTATAATTCCTTAGAACCACCTCCAAGCAAGGGATAGTTCAGTACTCAGAGAATGTTAGGGGGTCCCTTGGAAGACTTTTCAAAAATTGAGTCAGATTTGCAGCCTGATCATTGCAGAAATGGTGCTCATACTGCTCATTAACTTTACTCAGTCGTTGCACATAGAGAAGGATTTTCTTAACGTCATTACACAGACCCAGCAAGATTCCACATACCATTCAAGACATGCAAACTTTTGGATGACAACTTCAGCATAACCATGGACATCATGTCCCTCTCAAAAATGTACTGGAACAAGACAACGGTGTGACTTACCGGCTAGTCAAGGAGTAACTTTAATATTTCCTTTTCTCTGGGACAAACCTCCTGCCTAATTTGTCTCATATCGTACTTTCATCCTATTGCTTGCACCTACGTCTGTCCAATTCCCTTTCTAGTACATATAAATTAATATCTACTTTTCTCATCTAATAATTTTTACTACAACAAAAAACCTCAAAAACGAAAGGTTTACAAGAAACCATGATACATGAATTCAAATCAAGCAAATATTTGCATCACCATAAACCCTTGCATTTTATTCCCCAAATGACCCTAATCAGCCACCACCCTACAATGATATTCACTATAAACTCTCACTGTTCAATATGATATTCATAAGCTAAATGGTTTAGATAGTAGCGTGGCCTGCCGGCTCAGTCATTAATCAGAAAAGGAAAACCCTCACACTAGTAGGTCGCCCCCATGTAAGTAATTGATGCCTAAAATGCATATCCAAATTCCCCAAATGCCACTTAGCGATTAGTAAATATTTTAATTGCCCTCAATATCATATTTTTGTATATGCATACTTTCATACAAGGAAAGGAAAACAAAACCACCAAAGGAGAAGCACAATACATGACTGCCGCACTCTACAAGATTTCATCTAGGTGGCACTTTCAAACCCATTCGAAAGCCGCAATAACAAAATCAGAATCAGAAAATAATAATAATAGTAATAATAACAACAACAATGTCAACATTCTCAAAAAAAAAAATAATCAATAATACCCATTAGAACATGATACAATAATAAAACGCCACAGAAATAAGAATAGACAGTTTAAGTGTGAACCCATAAATTCAGGTACAGAATCCATTAAATTTCATCATATGAGGTGAATGTACCTGTTCAAGGGCTATAGGCACAACCCTTGCACCTCTCCCTAAAACTGGTTGGCGTAGCTTAACCTGTGGATCACAAAGAAGACTATATGATCCCAATTTGGAAACAGCTAAAATCCTCCAAAATGACGATGCAATCCTCCAATAAATTTCATACAATTTATCCAACTCCTCACAATTATTTTTATGTATATATAATGGTTCAAGTAATCATCAGCAACACATAATCAGGAAGCATTTCTGTATCTTACAAGGCCACACTAAAGGAAATCTCAACAATATTCAATGTAGATGAATCCTCAATGGAAAATTCCCCAGGACATTTACTATGTATAACTATTGCCTCAAATGATAAATCTTCAATAATTGAGTTCACCAAAACCAAAGATGTATGCAATAATCATTTTTCCTCATTAAACTTAATGTAGAAGTTCATTTTGCATAATTTTGATAAAAATTTGTAAAACCAAAAAGGAACACAAATGGAAAAGTGAAACAATGATATTACACAAGTTCCACGATACTTGGTGGAGGGTGAACCTGCCTGTGCTAGAAGGGCCTCTGCATCCTCCTGTCTAAAACAGAGTAACCCAAGTGACTTCTGACTACTGGGATCTGAAATCAATACAAACTCATTGTTGGAATTACTGACAGTGTATACTGATGTCCCAGAGAGAGTCTTGGCAACATATTCTGGGCTCAAAGCAATGTCAAAGACATGCTTTGGTTGCCTCATTTCCTGAGAGATGGCAGCAAAGAGGAGCCCAGGCCTCGGCCAATTCATTGAAACTCTCCCAAAACACCTCTTCGCTTCAATCCTGCTCCCTAACTCTGTTAACCACTGCCAGTCAAATTTATCAAGGAAAAAAAATGGGTGTCAAACATTATGAAAATGAGTAGGAAATAACTCCAATTTGGATCTCAAAGAGTATATAAATATATGAAAACCCAAAAGCACAAAATGGGTTTGTGAAGTGAGAGAAAACCGATATGCCCAAAAGTTCTAAGCAGCAGTGAGAAAATGATGAAAATATGAGCGCCAAAATGGGTCTCAAAAATATGCAACAAAAAGAAAAGAGAGATACAAACAAAGCAAAATGGCCTCTGGTTGCCAAAATAGCCATTAACGACAATGAAGGAGAAGAAAGCTTGACAGTACCTTTTGTGCAGGACCTGTTTTAGGCAGAAGACCGTCGATGAAGCCAGAGACTGAAGAAGAGAGATGGCGGAATGCCTGTGAATCCCAAGGTAACTGAAAATGGGTGGTATTGGAGGATGAAGAAGAAGTTTCAGAATGTTTTGGAGAATCCATAGCCAGAATGGGAAAAGAAGCGTTCCCCATGCTTGGCTGTGTCCAAGGTTTTGCGGGGTGAAAGAATAAACAAAGAGCCGTTTAACGTGTCGTTAATGAAGGACCTACCAAACACAGCATAGAGAAAGATTTTCTTATGGGTGCTTTTTGTGCTTCAATGTAAGAAGGGTGAACTGTTGCAGGGTTTGTTTATGGCTGCAGTACTCTTCCTACTGGGTTTTTGGCGCATTGATCGCAAAATCGTCCCATCTAACCGCTAACCGGTTCCGGTTTTGCATCGTTAGGATCATGAACATGTATTTTAAAAATAAAAATTTAAAAAAATACATATAAATTCTAAAAAATAAAAAAGTTGATATGTAATGCATTTTAAATATTATTTAGATTATGGTAAAAATTTAAAATTATTTTGGTCATTAATAATCATTTTATATTTTCCTAATTTTTTAAAAAAAATTTAAAAATAACCCTTAAAAAATATAAAATGGGTTAAAAACCATTTTTTTTCATTAATTTTCAACTTCAATTGAATGTGATTTGTTTTAATCATTCTTTATAGGAAAAATTTCATACAGAACCCTAATTCCCCATCTTATTTCATGATAGACCCTCATTCCATTTTTCTTTCAAACGGCATAAAAAAATCTCTAAGTATTTCATCGTAACCCCTCATCTCTTATGTCCCTCATTTATTCACTTTTGACAATAAAAATTAACCTCAACAAACTCTTTTATATCATTTCAACCGAATATGAGAGAGAGATGGGAGGGTCTTATAGGATCATTACTTATATATATATGAAAACGTTTATATAAGGGTGCAACCTTATAATGTAGAACTACGGATGCACCTCAAAAATCAATCGGAAAATGAAGTTTTAATGTTGAAATTTGATAGATCATTTCGACATCGAGATGTATGACTATGAAAAATAAAAAGATTTTTAGTCTTAGAAATAGTGCATTTTACAACATATTATCTACACTATACATTTTCAAGATTTTCATATGTTTATAGATCTACTTGATTTTAACCATTTTTAAAATTTAAAATTGTATAATTAGATATAAAAATAGATTTTGAGATAATCTTATCAACATTTTACATCAAAATATATACCATGATAAAATTTCAAGGTGCACATTTCCTCTACAGCTAGGGATGCATCCAT